TACATGTTTCTTCGCCTAACCTATGGTCATGAGCTCTGGGTAGTGACCGAAAGAATGAGATCGCAGATACAAGCAGCTGAAATGAGTTTCCTCCGTGGGGTGGCTGGGCTCAGCCTTAGCAATAGCGTGAGGAGCTCAGACATCCGGAGGGAGCTCGGAGTAGAGCCGCTGCTCCTTCGTGACGAAAGGGGTCATTTGAGGTGGTTTGGGCATCTGATCAGGATGCCTCCTGGGTACCTCTCATTGGAGGTGTTGCGGGCACTTCACACTGGTAGGAGGCCCCGGGGAAGACCCAGAACACACTGGAGGGATTACATATCTCATCTGGCCTGGGAACACAACGGGTCCCCAAGGAGGAGGTGGAAAGCATTGTTGGAGAGAGGGACATCTGGGGTGCTTTGCTTGGCCCACTGTCCCCGCGATGCGGCCCCAGATTAGCGCATGAAGATGGATGGATGGATGGATGGATGGATGGATGGATGTTTATTTGCAAATGGAGCGGGGAAGTGAGATCCGATCACAAGTGATCACTCAAGACATGGAGACTTATTCTAAGGTCAGGTGTAAACACACACAGGGCTGTCCACTTGTGATCAAATGACCTTAGACGCATGTTAATACCAGGTCTAAACAGCCTCTGAGACACTTCATGCTGGTTTTCGCTTTAATTTGTCACCTGTTTGTGATCTGTTAATGTCTTTGTGGATTATATAAAAGTTTGATGGAGTGTTGAAGGCTGTTTGACGCCTCTATGCATCAGTGTTGCACTGTGTTTTCACTCACTGGCTACGGTTACATGATGGCTTCTCATTCAGAATGAAATAAATCTGAATGAAATCATTCGAATTAAAGTCTTTCCAAGTAGTTTACATGGGAAATATTCATTCCGAATGAGGGTTTACATGGGAGATCAGTTCAATCGCCTTTATTCAGGTCTGTGCAAGGTTTGGGGCAGGGAAGCTTTCTGATTGGATAGGGGGCGGGGCGGATGTTACGTGTTTACGTTTACCGGAAGAAAACACTGTATAGTCCTCGCTCCGGATAACAAGATGCTTGACAACGCCGTTCTTAGTGCCTTTTTCGGGCGTGTTTTGCTTATATTCTTGAAGCAGCAGTACGACAACAACCTTGTTCTGCTAATGCTTCATCTGTTGAGGAGGAGAAGGGAGGAAGAAGACCGTGCTGTGGCGAATGGAAACCGGTGAGTGCAACAAGTCCGACTGCTCTATCTCAGCCTGTTGCTATGCAGCCCGTTGCTATGCGCGCTATATACGTCATCGCGCCAGAAGGGCAAGGAAACGAGCATGCGCAGAAAGACCAGAATGAATTTAAAGAGGAATGAGTGTATACATGCACACAAAATTCTTTCATTCGGAATGACAAACGGAATAAACCACCCCCTTTAATCAGATTTAATTTTCAATCGGAATGACCGTTTACATGACCACTTTTAATCGGAATGGCCTTTCATTCCGATTAAAAGTGGAATTAAACTGTGCATGTAAACGTACTGACTGTGTCTGGTTTGTGGTTTTTAACTCCTGTGAGACACACACACACCACATGGAATGTCTCATCAGCTATTGCACAATGTTGTGTTCTGTTGCGGGGAGCAAATAAAAAAGAAATGAAAAGAAGTAAATTGCAGACCGGTTTAAAAATTTTTTTTATATATATAAAACTGTAAACACACTTCATGTTTACCTCCTTTCAAGTGTCAGTCACTCGGCCTGTGTGAACTCAGTCCTTCACATTTCTCTCACTTTTGACTGACTCTGAGATTTTTCTTGTGCGAGAAGTTTGAGTGTCTGTATGCGGTGCTCTTCCCTTTTTTATTCAGCGATGGTTTCTGCCACTGCTTCTTTTTTTTTTGTTATGATACACACACTCAAGCACATACTCAAACCCTCACCCACACACATCTCCTCTGTCTAATATACAAGGAGTGACATTATGACAACCAAGAGTATCTGTTTAAGATCTCAAATTCACCACGCCAGCATTACTTTATGTATCTTGACACACCAGTGTGACATCTTAAAAATGTTTTTTGCCTTCAGCATTTATGAAAAGCAATAGCATGAACGTAACACACATGACAGGGCACACACAGCCCGTAATAATGTGTGAGAGAAATAACCCTGATTCACCGATGATCACATGTTGAAAAGACAAATTACATGCCAGTCAGTCGTGTGAGCGACCCTCTTTTGCTAAATCTGACAGTCCATGAATGATAGAAATTTTCAATTGATAATCCAGAGAGGGAATCCAATCTCTGCTGCCTGTTTTGTTTTTTGTTTTTTTTGTTTTTTTGGGGGGGTGAAAACACCATGGGAATTCTTACAACAAGCTCGCACATCTGCTCTCTGGTTTTTATTGATTGATTTATTTCATTTGCCTTGGTTCAGTGGTTGATATCATGCTCACTGAGGTGGAATGGTGCAAGCTACATCTTTGAGTTAGCTGATTATTTTCTCACCAGCAGTAACTGCAATGACTCGCTGAGCAAGCAGAGGGCACACTGTTGATACTGTTGATCTGACAACTCCAGCGCTTTCTTGAATTTTCCACTAACATGTTTCACACAGTCAGTGAGGGAGCGTCTCTGCTGTCAGAGATCAGATACAGAGGATTTACAGACGTACACATGAAGCTAGATTTCTATTATTTTGCTCCCCAGCAGTGTTGATGTTGGGTACCTGGGCTGAAGCCAGAGGCCACTGTAAATCACTCACTCTTGAGAATTGGGATGAAACCTTATTTGGGTTTTTTTTATTGTTTTATTTTTTGTTTTTAAATGTGGACTGGGAAAATATATCTTGGAAGATCAAAGTCTTGACTGTTAAACCTTGTATTCAGCCAACCATCCAGTGATTTAGTTTTCCTTGATTGCACTCATGATGGATGTCAGAGGTAAGATCTGATGGAGTCGACAAAAACTTACAGCAATCATAATGAGCTGAACCTTTATTTTTCAAAGTTGCCAAGAGTTCTCTTAATGCTAATCAAAACCATAATTCTTATTTAGTTTGTATTTAGAAGGGCTGTGGAGTTGACCTGTTTTGGTTGAGACGCACTTGATAGCAATATTATTTTAATGAATTTACCGAAAAAACAGAAATCTTACCAGTGCTTGAGCAGCACTCCTGCCTTTTTGGAAACCAGGAGATGAGACAGGAGTCCTAGTCCCTACAGCTGACCCCTTTTAAATGATGATTAAATTATGTTTTTGTAGAAATCTGACAGAGCTGAAAAAAATCTGGGACATATCTTTAAAGGGCTAACATTTTCATAAAAAGTGAAACAAAGATGATCGTAATAGTACAGTTTAACACCAGTGTTATCAGTGCATACTGTTAGTTTCAGATTTTGAAAGCCTTTAACACAGTTTTTAATTGTTTGAAGTTGTGAATTCCTGTCTGGGACAAGAGTGTTTTCTGGCACAGGGCAAATTTAGAGGTAAAAAAAAATGAATGCAGGTTAAAAAAATGTTTAAATCATATCTATGTATGATACATAAACCCTTTAGAAATAATGTTTCACCCCAGAAAGGGAAGTTATGTTTTAATAAGTTATCATTTTCAGAGTTTTCCTGGAAGAACATGATTTGACCCCAGTTCTGAGAATCTGCTGTACAGCTCCTGCTTCAACTGCTGACACTTCCCCTGTTTCCCGTACCCCAAGTAAACTCGGGAAACATGACATGTGTCACTTCCTGCGCAACAAAGACATTTTAAGAGAACGATGCAGGAAGGCCAGAAATGATAAATTCAAAGAAATGATGGGAATTCATGTGTTTTTATCTAAGTGTAACCCCCTTTCCTTAAAATGTAATGTTCTCCAGTTCTTCCAGGCTGTGTGTAATAAGTGGGCTACAACATTTGTTTCTTCCTCTTCGTTTAATTTTTACCAACACGGCAAGACAGTACTTACATATCTCAACTTTGGGGTACAGCAACTTCTCTTCACTGTTACGCATGAAGCACTTACTCTCTCGTGTATCACTCATACCTGTCCCCACAAAACAAGGGCAGGTAGGACCCAATTAGCTCACAACCAAAGGAACACAATGACTCCACTTAAACATCACATATGAAAATATAAATGAAACAATATACAAAATACTATAAATGACAATGAAATAATTATTTACCAGTAACTAAATATTGCTGAATCTATTGCTACTTAAATATAAATAATGTACCCATTTATATAAATATAATGCTTACAGTATTTACAGTTAATACATAATCATGCAAGAAAAAAAATATTGCAATGAAAATGGCTTTAAAAGAGCCCTGTCAAAAGAGGTAGAACCTCCTAGAAGGAACTGACAATGAATGTTGATGCTTCAGAAACTGTATATTAGTTAAATCATTATTATGTAAAGTAGGGTGATGGAGTACATGAAAGTTATACAAAATGATGGTTGGACTCTTTAATGTGGTCAGTTGTTGGCCCTAATTGTGGAAGAGGCTCCCACTAACAATTACATATTCCCCCTCCATTGATACCTTTAAAATGCGTCTCTTCTCTTTTGCCTTTTCATTGTCATTATGACGACATTTGTTTGTTTGTGCAGTGCCATCTTTGTGTCATTATTTTATCAAGATATTGAATGCATTTTATTAACTTACTTATATTCTCTAATTCATGCCTGTTTTTATTTGATCTCTTTGTAAAGCACTTTGGTCAGAATTCATTGTTTAAATGTGTTTTTATAAATGAACTTGACTTGACTTGACTTGGATAACACAGTGTAGCATCTGGAAACGTAAAACTGCTGCATTCACATCACTGAGCACAAGTAACAAGACCAAATCCTACAACAATAACAATCACAATTATCACCTAATATCTTCCTTTTATCACACAAACTGTGCAGGTATAATATTTAACACATCCCCCGATGATCATGATGCTTGTGTATTCAGTGAAGACCTATTCAGCAAAGATCCTCTGCTGTTAAACATCTCCTTATTAACAACAAAAAACACTTTTGCAGTTGCTTCAAATGTTCATTATTTATTCAGCACCAAATATTAACTTGTTAGACTCAATTTAGATGAAGAAACGGTCACATCTGGATTATTTTTAGAAACTAATTTACATATCATTGAGCTTACAAAAAGGATTTACAGGGTGAAAGTATTAAAACATACAAAATAAATATAAGGAACGGCTTCATTTTTTTTCCCAGTGCTCCTCTATGAATCATAAAAACAAAACGGTGTAGAACAAAGACTGCATTGGAGAAAGAGGTCAAGAAAAGAGTAATAAAAAAAAGAGTAATAAATTAATATTTTTTTGGTTGTTGTTGTTGCGGGAATCTTCAGAACCTGCAGCAGTAGCCGCAGCCCTTGTTGCCTCTGCAGCAGTTGCAGCACCAGCGGCACAAGGAGAGGTGGCTCTGGCGCTTCTGCCTGACGTGATCTGGCATCTGTGTGAAAGACAAGAGACATGAGCAAAGGGGTTCATCTCCAGCATTTCATCCTCTCCTTGTGTGGAGAGAGCACCAGGGCACTCCATGGGGAAAACACATCCACTTAAATTTTAATTTGCTCACAGTAATTGGCTTAATTCATTCAGTCAATTGAACATACCATCCTCGATTCCATTGACATTTCTTGATATGCCGCAACTGGAGTGTCATTGCTCGCTGCCTCCTCCAGCTCTTGCACCTGTTAATGAATTATGCACATTTAGGAGCCACATCTTAGCATCGTGACAAAACATTTATAGCTAATAAGCAAATGAAGTGAGTTTAAGTCAAATCCTTACCCCGGTGAATGGGACGGCAGAGCTCTCCAGAATGCAAATAAAGGCGAGCACGAGTGTCACTGCAACTGCAATGCTGAATGCCTTCATTTTGGTGGAGGTTTAAATGGTTTAGTTATTAAATCCTGCGAAGATTAGAGTTGATGGGTCTCCTTTCTCATGGGTGTCGGGCCACCGAAGAGCACCACAATATCTTCAATTTATTCTTCAGCTCCAGTGATGGATGGTGATTGTCTGGGCAAGTGGATTTCTTCAGATCTTTTGGTGACTTCTGTCAGCTCTTTAGAGTCCTTCCACTGTCTGATGGTTGAGCATGCAGAGCTTTCTGGTATTTATACACGAGGGTTCAGTGTTGCTTCATCGCTCCACAAGGCCCAGCCCATTCCTGGCAGCAGTTACCTAACTCCACTGGGGAAGTTTTGACCTCCTCCTTTCTCCTCTCCGTAGTGCTGCAACTCTGGGGGGAAATCCTCTGATCTATTTTTGATTGTGGGCCCAGTTCTCTGTTCAGCAGTATCAAATCAACTATGAACTTTTAAATGAAATTACTTTCCACAGACAGAACACATAATTCCACACATGAACAAGCTGCTGCCGCCGCTGCTGGAGACCATCATTTTTTACAATATATGAGAGCAATATGTATTCTGTATTGACGCAGAGCTTCATGCTCGTGGAGATTCGTTTAAAAATGTGACTTTTTTTCCCCAGAACAAACTGGAAAAAGTGCTGGAGACTCCCATGGCAAAAGCCAAGGACCGCATGGGTCAATCTATTGCACGGCTGACTGAGCCGCACTTGTTTCGACCCAGGAAATCCTTCACTAAGGAGAGGGAGCCACTTTGGAATATCCATTGCTCAGTCTAAAGGATGTAATTACAACCTCTCAAATGGAATAATTAGCCCCTCATTTTCAACACATTCCGTTTTTGCATAATACACAGGAACCTGCAGTTGAACCAAATTAAATCCCTTTGAGAGCAGCCGAATAGTAGCCAGGATTAAAATCCTCTATTTGAGAGTCAAGGTGTTTCAATATGCATTAGTTAAAGATGAATGTAATGTGATCTGATGTGGTTTATTATATCTGGACTGTGATCAGTTGCATGGCTCTAGGTGTTAAACCCCACAACACATCTATTGTATATCATGCCTTCATGTGCATGACACAATCTGTCGTTCTTTATGGTGCATATTTCAATATACCTAAAATAAATAACACACAAAATGGCAAAAGACAGCTGCTATTGTTTCATTAAAACGCCATTAGTAATTTCCTGGCACGCAGCATGTTAACAATTGATGGGTTTAATAAATATTTGAAGCAGTGTGAAATTACAGCAGTGTGAATTTAATGACAATGACATCAAAATATTAACCCAGATTGTTAACAATTGCATAGGAAAACCATAACCCTAAAATTGTAAGAATCATTTTTCCCCTTATCACTGAGGCGGCGATAAACACCTTAAGATTAATTAGCCTGTCAGGGTAAGAAAACTACTCCACAACAACATCAGGCTGTGAATAAATACAAAAATCAATAACGGTGGAAATGAAATAACAAAAAAAGGCAAAATAAAGGTACAAACTGATAAACAGTGGGCTGTGCATGCTGATAAAATCACAGGGCCATTTGAATTCTCATTATACCTTCAAAGTCTCTCCAAATTGCCTGTGCTGAGTCAATTAGTGAAACAACATGTCGCGGGACCCCTGCGTCAGTCTGTCTCGTTCACTGATAACCCCTCTGGCCCACGTGCTTGCTTTGGGTGACCACAACATCAATGTCAACAAATACAACCATGAATGGCTCCACATCAGTTGGAATCTGCCCATGCTTGTCTAATGTGGCGGCAGAGCGGTACATTATCTGTAGTTTATGCATAGCATTCTGTGTGTGTATGTTTTTGTGTGTCTGAGGGATAGAAATGGGCTCCAGTCCACTCTTTGAACTAGCACATCATGTCCACTCATCATGTACACATGTCATTTTGTTTGTCATGCCTCGCTAGACATGACTCAGCTCCTGAGGAATCTGACTATGACACCGGTTGGCTGTAGCAGGACACAAAAATATTATCCAGGTTCACTGGGGGTGTGTGAGCATACGAGAGAAGAAAAAAGACACAAGTTCACAGAAGAAACAGTTAAAAAGAGCGTATAGATCTGGGTTTTCCGAGCGTGTGTGGTTTGGCCTGTGTTTTCCCCGAGCATGCGTGTCTCCTATCAGCTACCGAGGCTATCAGTCGGAATCTTCTGGCCAAACAAAGCCAGGCACCAGTACGGCGGACAGATTCACCTCAGCAGGCGCCACTCTATCTTTTTCTCCTGGTCAAGGGCATTGCCCCCATCTGTCCATGTTGCGTCACCGTCCCCTGTTCCTTCCTATCGTACACTTCTCACCCCCTTTTCCCCTTCTCCTTTCTGTCCGTACCTGCTTTAAATGGAGCTGCAGGACGCTCCTGACATTCAACTCATCTTCTGTCAGCCTGTGTGCTGCCAAACACACCAAACACAACACTCCTCACCCCCAAAACACAGCCAGACCAACTGTGGGTTCATATCTCACCTCAGAACTAGGACAGCATTTGTACAGCACAGGTCACACTTTGTAAATAATATGAAAACCTAGTGATAGTCATGGCCTCCAGTCATCTATCTATCTAATCAGTGTCTATCTATCTATCTAACTGACTGTCTCAGCGTTGGACTCAGGGGGCAGTATGAAGCGCAGGCCAATAGGTGTCTGCATGCTGAGAAAGGTGACTGTGGGGAATTCCCCAGTCTGTTTGGAATATGAAGCATGTTACAAAATATTACTGGAACTTCCAACAATGTCGGTCATAATGCAATGCAAATATTTTATTTAAAAGAATGTAGCTCAAAGTGGTTTACATTACAGAGAGTCAAAAGAAATACAGACAACAATCAAAGTTACAATAAAGGTAAGGCAAGTTTATTTATAAAGCACCATTCAGATTAAATGTAATCTAATAGTAATACATTTAATATAATACTTTAAGAAAACATTAAAACTGCATTCAAAAGACAATGAATAGATGAATCAAACAAGCAAAAGCAAGCAAATAAATGGTTGCAGATTAAAGAAAAAGTATATTTTTGGAAAGCCACAGTGAACAATAAAGTTTCAAGCCCTGGTTTGTGTAAGTTAACAGTTTCAGCAGACCTCATGAGCTGGTTCCACAGGTGGGGAGCATAAAAGCTGCTTCACCTTGCTTGGTTTTGAGCCTGGCCACGCTAAGTAAACCCATACCAGATGACCTGAGGGGTCTGGTTGCTTCATAACATACAAGTAAATCATAAATGTTTTTAGACCCGAGACCACATAGGGCAATATAGACAAGTATTGTTCAAGTCCGAAAAGGGACCCTTGTTTCATTCTCCTCCTCTCCCTCCATGTTTCCTGTCATCTCTTTATTGTCGACATTTCTAAAGGCATAAAAACGCCCATAAAAACACTAAACGGAGATCACAGTGCAAAATACTGGTTTAAAGCTGTTAAATGTTTTTCAGCTGACACTCAGAAATGCTCAGAGGTTGACTCTTTGATATGGGAGCATAAAAAATAGGGAAAAAGTTGGGAAAATTTACAGAGGAAAAAAATCCATTTAGAGATTTTTATACAGTCACAAAACAGATGGTCACAGGGAGTTGGTGCTGTTAGTTGAAACCAATGTGATGCTTTGTGCTCCTTTTAGTTTTGGAGTAGAGGTCTCACAGCACACATTTTACATTGGCTGGGAAAAAGTGCATAAAAGTCTGCTTCAGATTTTGGCATAAAGCAGAAATTAGCTTTCTGTCCTCTTGCTGCCGTACCATGGCAATATTTCAGAGGAGAATTGTTCATTCTCTTGATGTGAGACTTAAAGCTGAAATATGAGTCTAATGCACCTTTTGCAATGGGGTAATGCATCATCATCTCAGTGTGAAAGCACACATGGTGTTGTCTGCAGAGAGGCTCTAATCATAAATATGATTTAAACCATGGTCTTGTAGTCGTGTGATTTGGTTTGTTTTTTGCTGCTTTGCGTGATATTTTACTGCCTGAAAAGCAGTTACAACATGTTGATATTTTGTCAGCTGTCTGATCGTTTTGTGATGGTCTTGTTGTGTTGACCAGGCCTCACTGAGCAGTGGCGCCCACAAAAATTTTTCATCGGGGTGGTCAGATGGGGCCACTGAAAATGTTGGGGCGGCACACCAGCGCTTGATTGAGCTGTTGAAATATATTAGGCCCGTTTCCACCGCAGGAACTTCGGGGTAATTTTACCGGGCTGGGGCCGTTGGTGTGTGTCTCCACCGAAGGAACCACCCCCGAAGGACAGAGTTCTGGAACTTTTACGGGGGCTAAACAAGTCCCTGCCTCGGGGTAGGTACTCAGAACGGCAGCAGCAAAGCTAACATCAGGATGTCATCTGTTAAAAGCCTCCCGTTGTCGGATACGACATGAAACTACTCCAGATAGCTCAATCATGTTGTAACTAAGACATCCGCTGGAATTTTTTTTTTTTTTCACGGGCCATTTAGTGAGTTATTACAGACACCGCTAAGGGCTATCAGCTAACGGCGTCCCTACGTTGCCCCGGTAAATGGTCACGCAACGATTATGTCACATCCAGAGCCCGTAACTTTACAGGAACCTTCCTCCTACTCCGCTCTCTCAGTGGAGACACGGCGGTTGAGAGGGCTGAGCGAGAGGACTTTCCTGTAGTAGTTCCTGCCCCCCAAATAGTACCAGGAACTTCTTCAGTGGAAACGGGCCTATAGGCTAGTTGAACAGTATATGAATATGCAGAGTTAAGGAATTGCATACAGATATATTTTGGTTTAATATTTTACACTTAATGTTGCTAATTATCTGATTTGCATAGACTAATATGGATACAGTTAACATTTTAAGTTGCACAACAACCCTGTTTTAATGTGCATCTGTGTATACATGTCAGGTGGTAAACCTTTAATTTGGAGGAGCACATTAATTGTAAGGAACAAAACACTTACTGGGGACAGACCTTCTCAAGTATGGGGGAGACTCATTGTTACCTATACAACCCATTTTTATTCAGATATCTTGAAGGGAGAGTTCAAGGGACCCATGTGAAAATGGCTGTGCCAGTTTTAACCTTGACAAAATGTAGCCTAACTTTTTGGAGCATTATTTAACCCCTTTTACGACACAGTATGCCAATAGATGCCTTTGGTTGTCTAGTTCCACACGATACCACCACCCTCACTTAGTTACGCTACCTAGATTTTAAAATAAGCGC